AAAGCGACTAAAAGTAACGGTGCTGTATCGCTCGATGAGATCTGCTCTTTGCATCTTTCATTTAATCTTGAAAGTCTGCAAACACAAACATGAGCCAAGAGGTCCCCAGCTTCAACACACAGAACCTAAAGCCACACCACGGAGATCACAAATACTTATTTGTCAGCAACCAAAAATAAAGACAAAAACCATCCAGGTACAAATCACTTCATTGAAAGCTGTCACTTCCACAGATTTCCTAAACCTATTACTTCCCCTGGGTTATTCCATGCTCATTTTCTGTGAGAGCTCAACAATCTGGCAGCTGACACATGGTATCTGAGGTCTAGGAAGATTGCCAAGAGAAGTAACACTTTTCTTATTTAAACTTTAACTTTCGATTGACCTTATCAAAGGCCAATGTCATCTTAGCCTGTCTCAGGAATAGTGTGGCAGCAGGACGAGGGCAGTGATATCCCCCTGGACTGGGCACAGGGGAGGTCACACCTCAGTGCTGGGTTCAGTTTTGGGCCCCTCACTGCAAAAAGGACATTGAGGCACTGGACAGAGTCCAGCCAAGGGCAACGAGGGCAGAAAACAGCTGGAAAACATCTGGGATAAGGAAGGGCTGAGGGAATTGGGTTTGTTTAGCCTTGAGAAGAGGCTCAGGGGTGACCTCATGGCTCTCTGCAACTCCCTGCCAGGGTTGGAGAGAGGTGGGGGATGTGTGTCCTGCCAAGGCTGCAGGGAGAGGACTAGAAGGAATAGGCATGAGACAGGGGAGACTCAGATTAGATGTAAGGAGAAATGTTTTCCCTGTTAGGATGTTCAGGCACTGGAATATTGCCCAGGGAGGTGATGGAGTCACCATCCCTGGGAGTGTTTCAGAGGTGTCTGGATCTGACACTGGAGGATCTGGTTTAGGGTTTAGGGGTTCCAGCAGTGACAGGTTAATGGTTGGCCTCGATGATCTTAGAGGTCTCTTCCAACCTTGATGGTTCTATGATTCTATTCCAAGAATGAATCTGATACGTTTTTGGAATGCTAAAACAGACAGTCATCATCTATGCAGTCAGAGATGCCCTCAGAACTACTGTGGGAAGCTTACTCCTTCAAAAAAGGAACTGATAACTACTAGGAAAGCTGACCTTTTGTAACTTCAGATGGATTCAAGTGTCCTGGAGTCAACTGTAGAATACTCACTAAATCCCTAAATTCTATCTTAACTGTGATTTACGGGAAAAAAAAAACAAAAGAGGAGGCTCAGGGGAGACCTCATCGCCCTCTGCAACTCCCTGACAGGAGGTTGGAATCAGGTGGGGGTTGGTCTCTTCTCCCAGGCAACCAGCAGCAGGACAAGAGGGCACAGACTCAAGCTCTGCCAGGGGAGGGTTAGGTTGGATCTTAGGAAGAGATTTTTTGCAGAGAGAGTGATCAGGCATTGGAATGTGCTGCCCAGGGAGGTGGTGGATTCCCCATCCCTGGAGGTTTTCAAGCTGAGACTGATGTGGCACTTAGTGCCATGGTCTGGTGACCACGGTAGGGTTGGATTGATGATCTTGGAGGTCTTTTCCAACCTGGTTGATTCGATGATTCTAAGTAATGTAATAGGCATATTTGAGTTTTAATTTCTTGGTAAGGTTGGAAACATCAATTACTTTTGTTGCCTGCATCTGCTTCCAACACACCAAACACATAAAGACTTAGATTCCAGAAGGTGTCTTCATGCATCTAATTAGAAGTCAAATTATCAATGATCCTACAGTAAAATAAAACAGCCACTAATACAATCTGACCATATAAATCCTAATGGAGCCACAAAAAAAAACCCCAACCAGTAATAAAGCATCTATATGAATTTTCTCCCCCACTGCATGGTAAACCAAACACTTCAACTAATAACAACAAATGCACAATCACATTAGTTAGAAGAACAACAGAATTGGTTTCTATCCTGGAAAATGACCACCTGATGTGACTAGGGCAGTCCCAACTGATGAGCAAACGTAGACACACTCCCAGGATTACAAGAAGAATGACACACATGACTCATGAGGGGTTCCTGAAAAGGTGTCTGTTCCTCTGCACAAACTACTTCAGACACGCTTGAAACTTAACCCCAGTTCTCCAATTATTCAATATTCTTCAAAAGTGTTCCAGGAGTAGCAGGAAAGAGCCACAAAGACAGCATGAAGAGAAAATGTCTTGTGATTAGATAATAAAAAGAGTACAAAGCTAATCAGGCTAATCAATACAGATAATGGAAGAAACTAAGTCTTCTCACAGCACAGAAAGAATCCACCAAGATCTTCCAATTAAAAGAAAGCATATAAAACCCCCATGACTAGAAACTGAACACTGACAAATTCAAATTAGAGTAGGAACACAAGCATGCAGGATAATGAGGACAATTAACACTTGAATAAATTATTTGCAGTGGGGATCTGAATTTGCCACTGTCTTCAAATTAAAGTTGGTGTAATTGTGGAATTTACACTTCAGAAAAAGACAAGTTACTGAGTTTAATAAAGGCAGAATTTTGTGCATCTCAATACAAAGAGATCGAGCATAGATTTATATAAAAGCTCCATCCTGTAATATCTGTATACTTACTTTGCCTTGATGCCAATACTCCCCTGTGCTGGTTTTGGCTGGAGCAGAGTTCATTTTCTTCACAGTAGCTAAGGTGGAGCTGTTTTGGATTTGTGCTGGAAGCAGCATAGGTAACACAGGGATGTTTTTGTTACTGCTGAGCAGTTTACACAGCACCAAGGCCCTTTCTGCTCCTCACCCCACCAGTGAGCAGGCTGGGGGTGCACGAGGAGCTGGGAGGGGACACAGCTGGGACAGCTGACCCCAACTGACCAGAAGGATGTCCCACACCACGTGGCACCATGCTCAGCGTGCAGAGCTGGGCAATGTTCAGAGTGATGGCACTTGCCTTCACAAGTCACCTTTACAGGTCCTGCTTTCCTGGAGATGGCAGAGCACCTGCCCATGGGAAGTGGTGAATGAACTCCTTGCTTTGTTTTCCTTTGCTTACATGCTCAGCTTTTGCTTTCCCTATTAAACTGTCTTTATCTCAAGCTGGGAGGGGACACAGCTGGGACAGCTGACCCCAACTGACCAGAAGGATGTCCCACACCACGTGGCACCATGCTCAGCGTGCAGAGCTGGGCAATGTTCAGAGTGATGGCACTTGCCTTCACAAGTCACCTTTACAGGTCCTGCTTTCCTGGAGATGGCAGAGCACCGCACCTGCCCAAGTGGTGAATGAACTCCTTGCTTTGTTTTCCTTTGCTTACATGCTCAGCTTTTGCTTTCCCTATTAAACTGTCTTTATCTCATCCCACAAGTTTTCTCACTTTTACTCTTCCAATTCTCTTCCACATCCCCCTGTGGGGGGGAAGTGAGGCTGTATGGTGTTTAGTTGCCAGCTGGTGTTAAACCCTGATACCCACACATCACAGAGTAATAGAAAAATATCTAATGTTTGCTCCTATTCCCTCCCTTCAAACCAAAGGCCTAGGTGTTATTCCCATTTTCCACAAGTGCCCTTGCAACTCTGGACCCTAGATATTTCCTTCAACAATTGTTTTTGGCTTTGTATTTCAGCAAAATCATGTATGTGCTTTATTCACTGCTGTAAAAGAAGGAAAGGCCCCAAATTATCTTTAGCTTCACTTAGATCACAGCTGCTTTTTCTACACACACCCGTTTTTTTTGCAGCGGAATCGTTTGTTCCTATTTCTGTTACACCTGTTCCTTCAGGCTCCCTCCAAAATGATACAAGGTTATGAATGCAAGGCCTACACCAGCAGGTGAAATCCAATCATCTATTTAAATTTCTTCTAGCACCTCTCCTTTTACTGGATAGGTATCAAGTTCAGCTATTTTCCAATCAGGTAAGTTTTACAGCTTCGCTTCAGCTCTAATATTTAAACTTTAATTCCATCTGTCCTTTTGCTTATGCTGTGTAATTTTGATTTCTTTTGCCACACATCTTTCATGTGAAACAACTCTCTGTTCACCAGCTTCGTCAGTGCCAGCAGCATGTTTGTTTGACTACAGTTTACATTAAGGCCAAGCAACCATGCAGTTCTGCAGCAGGACATTCAGCTTTTCTGATGCTCCTTTAGTATTCACTACTCACAGTTTGTGGGGGATTAGAGGGGGATTCTTCACCAGTTTATGAAGCACAGATCAGGACAGAGCCTCTCTGCATACGTAGTGGGAAGCAGTTAAACACTGAGAACAAGGCAGCCAGCAGCAATAATGGCAAGAGAGGGAAAATGGCTTAGGCTGGAAGAAGAGGCATCACACGCAACTGGAATTGAGACTGGAGAGCAAGAAGCAGGTGGGTGGTCCCAGTGGTGCTGTGGGTGCAAAAATGAATATACACTACCTGCCAGATGCCTGCTAGAGTAAAGGACCAATCTACACAACTCTCCCAGGAACATCTGGATTGTGACAATGTAACATTGTAGCTTTTTGACGAGTTTTAATTAGTACACACACAGAGCTAAAGTTTCAGCCTAGAATGAATCACTTCACTAGTGCCTGTCTATAGCTTCCTACAGGACAGAATTTAAGAGACACCCAACACCTCTTCTGCAAAGCTGAGATTTCAAAACCTTTACGTATGTTTCTATGTTAAGTATCTCCAAAAGAAAAATCCAAACATAAACCCATGGCTGGAAAGCTCCTATGGACAGTGACTGAGCTCTTGCTCACTTTTTAAGTGGTCAAAAAAGAAAGTACACACACATAGCTTGGAAGCAGTTGCTGAAGTAACTACATACAATCATATACACACTAACAGACCTATTTAACACAGTAGAAAAATAAAACAGTAATTGGCTTTCTGAATGCAGTGATGCAAAAAAGTTTCACAAATTCTCTGTGTACCAAGCTGCAGAACTACAGAACTTAAGACACCACAGAGTGGTGCAGCATCTCCAGGTACAGAGGAATTTCAGGTATCTCCTCAGAACAAAGTTGGGAAACGAATATAACTACGAGTTCAAGTTCCAACCTTGACATCACACATGTACATAATTGTAAGGACAGTTAAGAGCCTAGACAAAAAGAGATACCATGTGCCATGGGTTTATGTTAACACTGCTAATAAAGGTAATCTTTCTGTATTTCCCCAACATTTCTACTAGGATATTTAACTTACACTGATGTTTGCTTAAGTTTTCTAGTAGTTCTGAAATAATTTTTCAAGTCATACCTAAAAACTGTACAAGTCTCACTATAAATATGCTCAGCAGCAAGAAAAACCCACCCACACTTTCAGAAACAGCACCAATTCTTATCTAATCCTTGGAGAAATACATGGATGGTAAGCAGCATGATGCTGAGCTTGTTACATCAAAAGGGAATTTATCAATGTTACAGCATCAGTATTTATTTTCTCCAAGAAAAATCAAGTAAGTCAATTCTTTAGAGAATTGTGACTAAATAATAAAGATCACAGTCAAAAAATACGGGAAAAATTAATGTGCCTTTCCTCCTGAATTTATTTTCAACCTTGATTTTTTTTAATCAAGGAACAAAGTCTAATTATTTGCTATCATAATTACTAGAAAACAAACAATATAAGTGAAAACATACACGTACCATATCTTTCCAGAGCTGCAGAATCTTTTTCTTTCAGATTCTAAACTGGACTTCTACCGTTCTTGTACCTATAATGCAAAACATTACAGTTCAGTTGCTGCACTCCATTCCATACTGATGTGAAGATCACTATGACTCCAAAACAACACAGGCAAGTCTGCAAGTAAGGGAAATGCAGAACCACAGAGCATGTCAGGCTGAAAGGAACCCACAAGGATCATCACACCCAACTCCCTGCTCCCCGCAGGACTACCTAAAACTAAGCCATACAACTTGCCAAACTAAATCATAGATCCCATTAAAAAAAGAATCAACAGAAATACTTATTAGGTTAGGGAAGCTACAAAAGCAGAAAGTTCATACATACAGTGTTCCCTATTCTTTCCCCTGTAGTGATGCAATAGTTTTACAATTCCATTCATCCAGTTCATTAAAATATCCATTTCCTTCCTCATTCCTCCTTTTTATCTTGAGAACTGGCATTTATAAATTTAAAAAAATAAACACTCAAAAGAAGCCACGGATAGAACCAAATCTTTGTTCTGGGTGCATAAAATTGCCGGAGGTCTTAATTTTCAGAGAAGTGATAATTAACCAGGGAGACATGACTGAAACATACCCCAAATGTTTTCAACAAACACCTAAAAGCACAAGCAATTTTGGGGGGAAGAGCCATAGAAACAGGCATAGAACTAAAGAGAGAGGCTGTGGACCCTGAAGGTGTTCAAGGCCAGGCTGGATGGGGCTGAGTAAACTGATCTAGTGGAAGGTGTCCCTGCCCATGGCAGGGGGTGGAACTAGATGATTTTTAAGGTCACTTGCAACCCAAACCATTCCCCAATACAATTCTCATTTGGCACAGACTATCACATTTTCAGTACCATGAAGATATAACACAATTTCTTGGTTTAAAAACTCTATTACAAACAAATCCAATGCAGCTGATTTAGTCTGATTTCCGATACAGAGCAGAGTTCCCACAAAGAAACCCTGATCTGTTTACCTTAAGAGTACATTCAGGTTTATCTTAAAAGAGGTCAAACCACAGAGAACTCATCTAGTACCAAGAGCCCAATTCTCTATCAGGGAACCAACAGTGTCATGCCAGCAAAGCTCTAAGCACTAACCGTTTGTACACAATGTTTTGTATTTTAAGGAAAAAAATGTTATAGAATCATCGAGGTTGGAGGAAACCTCTAAGATCATCCAGTCCAACCATTAACCTGTCACTGCTGGAACCCCTAAACCCTAAACCAGATCCTCCAGTGTCAGATCCAGACACCTCTGAAACACCTCCAGGGATGGTGACTCCACCACCTCCCTGGGCAATATTCCAGTGCCTGAACACTCCAACAGGGAAAACATTTTTCCTAACATCCAATCTGAATCTCAAATTGGGCATCCTACCTGTTCCATGAAACAGGATTGTTATTTCAACAAATGGTTCTAATAATTATGCAGCTTTATGTACAGTTAGGATTAATGAGTTCATGATATGCAACTGTGTCAATAAAAGTTTACTGCCATTCAGCAGAAAACAAAAGAAAACTGTTTCTGAACAACATGAGACAGTAATTGATGAATTTCCTGTTCAGAGGTGGCACTTCCACTGTGTATCAACTGCAGAAATCCACAATACCTTATATTCTCCTAAGGATAATTCCTCATTCAGTGATGCCATTAGACAAACTCAGTTAAAAACTATCTGACAAAAGTGCCTGATATCACACCTTGCACTCCAGCACTTCCAGCTTAAACTTCAATGTATATGTTTTCTCCTGCACACACAGAGAGAACTGCCATCTATGTAAAATTCTCTCATTCTCCTCCAAGACATAAAAGCACCAAATTTAGGTGTGAACAGAGCAGGAGGAGAGCACCAAGTGCAGCATGAAAAAGTACCATAAGTACAGGATCTTATGATTATTGCCCAGCAATAGGAGAAAACAGGGCACTGGTTCCCAACAGAACTGAGGTATGGAGCAGTGTAAGGCAGTGCAACTGATAAGGGGAAACAAGACCACAGCGGAGGAGATGCAGACACAGGATTTGCCTAATAACATGCAGTTAGTAGCAGAAGAGCAAATAATTCCAAAAGCACAAAAATTAAATTCCTGGACTTTCAGTTCTTCAATCTCTCCCCAACAGCTACCACTAAGGCCAAAGAGAGTTCAACAGTCTATTAAAAACATTTGCTCAAAGGCTACGAGACCAACAACAAAAGGAAATACAGATCTGTAATGCTTTTCTTAAAGGAATGAAAACGATTCCATGAAGTCGGATGTGCTTTAACATTCACCTTTAGTATACTTATTAATTAGCACTAAGCCTCATCTGCCCCAAGAAAAAAATCAAATGGCAAATGTGACTAAACACTATTGCTTCCATTCAACACTACAAAGTCTTGATCTGTCACATGAGCAGAGCCAAAAGCTCCTTGCTTACAACTATGTCATACATTTTCACTAGGAATTTCAAGGCACACTGGATTACACTAACACAGACAATAAGAGTGTGAATTAACCACACTCTAACATACAGAAATGCAGAGCGTTCAAGAAATTCATTATGACAAAAGACACTTTGCGACTCATAGAATCATTGAGGTTGGAGGAGACCTCTAAGATCACTGAATCCAACCATTAGCCTGTCACTGATGGAACCCCTAAACCATATCCTCCAGTGCCAGATCCAGATACCTCTTTAAACACCTCGAGGGATGGTGACTCCACCACCTCCCTGGGCAATCTGTTCCAGTGCCTGAACACCTTACACGACAAAATTTTCCTTAACATCTCCTCTGAATCTCATGTGTGCTGGACCAAAGATATCCAGAAATCACCTCTATCAGGTGCCTAAAATGACATTTTCCACTTGTGTTTTGGGGTTGTTTTGTTTGATTTTTTCAACAACTGTCACAGCACAGAAACAGAAGAAAACAATTTGGAAGCACTACCCTGAAGAAAATGGTAGCTATTTTACCTAGTATTATAGATTTTTCTAAGACAGTTTCAAGTATTTAAGTTCAATTAAGAACAATTTTCTTTCACAACTGACAGTCTTAACGTTAACCAGAATATAACCAAAATCACGTTAGCCAAATAAAACCCAAGTGTTCACAAACATCCTTACTGCAGTAAGATACTCAGGTGATGGGAATCGTGCAAATGGAGTATTTATCACCACTTTACTATGCAAAGAGCTCAGTCTTTGCAGCCAAGGGACACCAGTGTTTCCCAAAAGTGACTCCAGGATCTCCCTTGTCCTTGAACTCTGATGGGATGTGCAGGGTGTGGACTCTCGTGTGTATTTCTATGGTATATATAAGCAAGTTTTGCTGCAACAGCTGAAGCACACCTAGGTGCTGCTCCTGCTGCCAGTGCACACTGCTACACCTTGGACCTTCTAAAAATAAACCAGGGTGTATACACATAGCAAACCACAAAATTCATCGCCAAGACTTTGGACATGAGATTCCACTACGGAAAAAGCAGCAATTTTCTGTATATGGCTACACAAATAGGAAAGATGAGAAACTGTACTGGGAACAGAAATTCTGAGGTTGTGATCGACCTCTGCAGGACTATCTAGCTTTGTAAAGGGTTTTGATTCCTTTCCAGAAAATGAAAAATACCACATTGTAAAATCAAAATATTTTAAGCATTAAAGCAGTCAGCTCAAACACATGACTAGGCACAACGCAAAAGAAGCTCACCTGCAACTAACTACTGTGGCCTTTCTTGAAGTACTTCGAGCTGGGTCCCATTTGAGAAGTTGAGCTCCTTTAAGAGCCACTCCACCACCCTCTAACACCCCAGGCCTGCTGCACTGCAGCTGCTCAGCCTGGGTCCCACAGAGCATACCAGGGCAGGAGCACACAAGCAGTGCCAGAGCCTGGCTGCCTGGGCAAGCCTGGCATCTCTCAGCACCCTGCAAGCTTGGCAACATGATAGGGATCATTCCTGTGCCTCCCCTGCACAGCTCCTGAAGGTAAGGGAGAGAGAGGTTTGCCATTCTCATCTCCTCATCTCATCAATCTCCTTGGCAGAACCATTATCAAGGAAGTACCAACAAATCCTAAAAGGTTCTGCTAAAGGAAGCAAAGAGCATGGTCTCCTCTGTGGGCAAAGAGATGAAGAACTAGTTTCACCCCTAGAACTTCAGTCATAAGTCTTGTCACAGTCTTCACAGGACACCAAAATGAAAAGTAAACCACGTGGACTAATCACTGCCAGACAGTTACACAACAACCACCAAACCCAAATACGGCTTCCATGATTTTTTGCCTGTGATCCAACTGGCTGATGCACAGCCCACCAAGCCCAAACTCCCTTTGGGTGTCAAACTACCCTACAGTTTTTCATACACAGCTTTGAAATTTTGTCACAGGGAGGTGATTTGGGACAGCCAGCACAGCTTCACCAAGGGCAAGTCTTGCCTGACCAGCCCAGTGGCCTCCTATGATCAAGTGGCTGCATCAGTGGACAAGGGAAAGGCTACTGATGTCATCTATCTGACCACTGTAAGGCCTCTGACATGGTCTCCCACAACACCCTTCTCCCTAGATTGGAGAGATATGGATTTAAGGGATGGACTCTCTGGTGGAGGAGGAACTGGTTGGATGGTTGCATGCAGAGGGTAGTAGCCCATGGTTGAATGTTCTGATGTACCTCAATGATAAATGACATCCCTCAGGGGTCCATACTGGGACCAGTATTGTTTAATAACTTCATCAATGACAGACTGTGGATTTAAGTGCACCCTCAGGAAATCTGCAGATCACACCAAGCTGCATGGTGTGCCTGACACGCCTGAGGAACAGGACACCATCCAGAGGGACCTGGACAAGCTTGAGAAATGGGCCCATGGGAATGTCACTCAAGGCCAAGTCCAAGGTCCTAAGCATGGGTCGGGACAACCCCTAGCACCAACACAGGCTGGGGGATGAGGGAATTGACAGCATCCCTGCAGAGAAGGGCTTGGGGATATTGCTGGCTGACAGGCCACCCTTGACCAGGCAATGTCCTGACTGTGTGCTGGGCTGTATCACAACTGGTGTGGCCAGAAGGT